AGTACTGGAGAAATTAGCGTTTGGATGCGCATTGTGAGCCTTTAACATTACAATATCACTACCAGAACATGTACACTCATGACTTTCATTCAAACTTGTGTTCTACTCGAGCACATTGGTTTGCTTAGAGAAGTGTGTATGTATCGATTCAACAGGGTGCAGATCCACCACAATACCCAAGGTAGATTTAACGTGCATGCTATTTGTTGTCACCAGGAATAAGATAACAGATCTATATTATGGATCTATTATGTTTCATTTATTTTTTATCTTTTCTTGTTATCTTTACTATTATTATATATAATTTATAATTATAAGCATTATCAGGAGTTAATAATGACCTTGTTTGTCATTATTAACCCCTGGTATAATGGTATTATTATTGCTACTACTATTACTTTTTAGTGATTTATTGTAGATTCTGTTAAAAAAATCTCTTATCTTACTCCAGCAATGGATCTATAAAGTTTGTGGCAACGTTAATGGTGCTCTTACTGTCTCGTGTCCTTGTCTGTGAGATCTCCGTACATCACAGCGTATCGGTTCAGCTGCTCAGTGCACTCGGTGCCGCGATCATTGACGTACGTCGCCGTCGGATAGTAGCCAAGCATCTCGTCAAAGCTGAGCTCGGGTCCGCTAACGAGGAACGTCTTCATGATGCTGATGATGAGTGGAGAGTCTCGGAAATGCTGCACGCACGAAAACGTGTTTGTATATATACGAGTCTGCTCTACGATGTTTTGGTCCTGCCATTTCTTGGGGATGATGCATGCAATTACAGTGATAGTGATGATAGTGTTAGAAAGTCTTCCTATTTTTGTTAACTGGCTCCACGTACCACTCTCTCTCTCTCCGTCTATCTGTCTCTCTCTCTTTCTCTCTCTGTCTTTCTTTCTCTCTCTCTCTCTCTCTCTCTCTCTCTCTCATGTTCTTTTCTTACCTCCATCCTTCCCTCCCCCAAGTGCTTAATTGATTATTCAGTGTTCCTTCTCTACCTGTTCCTTATTTCCATTAGACTCGCAGACCAATATCGGGACTTTGCGGTAGCTGGACCACTTTATCTCCTTTCGCAGGACTGGGTTGACCTCTACCACATCGTAGCAAAATCCGTGATAGTCAAGAAAGGCCCGCACCTTGCAGCAAAATGGACATGTCTGGTACTGATAAAGCGTCAGTTTCAGGCCAGAATTGTCCACTGTGCTGAGAATCTAAAATGAAATAAATTTTTTTTTAAGTTCTTCCACCCCCTTCCTACTTAACCTTCTCGGATCTCCATCTCCTTCACCGTCGCATTAAAGTGCTCACCGTTTTGCCTCCTCAATTAGCCTACATTATAATTTATATCATAGATGTGTGAGTATGTCTGCACGTGAATGTGCATGCGGGCGGACCGTTGTGTGTGTGATCGTGTGAGGGTGTGTGCATGTGCGCAGGGGCGTGTACAGGGGGGGGGGGGCGTCCAGGAGCGGTCCGGACCCCCCCCTGCTCAGCGCAGAAAACGCATCTGAGCGGGGTCTAATTTCAAAATTTTGAGACCCCCAGACCCCCCCCTTCGCGTCTGCCCCAAGCTTGCGGTTACGCGTCTGGACCCCCCCCCCCGTACAAATCCTGATGATAAAGAATATTCAGTCAAAACGATTCAAAGTCTAAGGGCTGCTGCCACAATATCTATATACACATATTTCTGGGTACCGTCGGATGGGCGTTATAGCAGGACGCGGGACACTTCTTCTGGCTTCAGCTGGTGCGCCGTACCATCTCCATCGTGAATTGGATGGTGCGATCATGATTTGACAACTGCCTCCTACTCCGGCTCCTGCAACCACACTCCAACAGTAGCAAGCCATATTCAACTTTGATGTCTTCTTCGCTGGCACTGATTGCCTACTCAATAGAGGCGCGTTGACTGTAGCTTACTGGCGCTCGTATACTGCTAGATATAATCGCATCTAGAGTTATGTAATTCATGCGGGTTCTAGGGAAAACGAGAGAACCATTTTAACCTAGTAGTAGTACAGAACATCAACTTCTGCATGGGCCTGACATTTTGAAACAATGAGCGTTTATATAGGCTGGCGCAAATGCTTCGCAATGTGAAACCGGTGCATAGTGTGTTAGCTGCTAGTAACACGTTGTGTACTTTTTACACGTTGTGTATAAACTTTATAAATAAATGTGCAGGCTGTTAGGATTTTAATTGTCAGCATTTAAAATAACAGGTAAAGTTCTTCGCTCTCAGCGGACTGGGAATCTGTTTCGCGGATGCATGGACGAAGGCGTTAAAATGGACCATCGTGTGGAGGTGCATTGGACCAACCTGCCTCCCAGATACCTGCTAAAAAAGCAAAAACGCCTGCCACAATGAAAAAGAGAGCAAGGAAAAGCAAGTAGAAGAAGCCTTGAAAAGTTATAAAGCTTAAGCAAGCACAAAAAGAAGCGAAGAAGCCGTTGATGACGTAATGTAGTTAACAATAAATTGAATATATAACTAGATTGAACACTTCGCATTTTGTTATATCGAGCATGTTTTTTTCACGGAACATTATTCCAGATAGAATATTCTTTAGGCCGTGGCTACGCGACCGGTTCCGGACGAGAGCCACTAAGCTAGACTACGCGCTCCAGACATCCATCTCACCAGTATCTTGCGAACACATACACGCATGATTGCGCAACAGGACGCTCTCGTGCCCCTGATTGCTGAGTGGTGTGTGATGTTCTGTGGCGTTGCGTGCCGTGCGTCGCGTGCGTGCGTGCGATTGCGCTTGCGTGCAGGAGAGAGAGAGACAGAAGAGAGGGTGTGCGTGTGCCGGGTGTGTGTGGTGTGTGGTGTGTTGTGTGTGTGGTGTGTGTGGTGCGTGTGTGTGTGTGTGGTGTGGTGTGTACTGTCAAGAGAGAGATAGAGCCTAGAAGTTGTGTGTTGTGTGTGTTGTGGTGCGTTAGCGTAGCGTGCGTGCGGGCGTGCGTTGCAGTGCGTGCGTGCTGTCGCGTTCCGTGCGTGCTGGTGGTGTGGAGCGAGAGAGAGAGAGAGAGAGGATCAACTGTCTGAGAGGGAGGGAGAGAGAAGAAAGGAAGGAAAAGGAAAAAGAGGAGAGAAAGGAGAGGAAGAGAACCAGCGAGGAGTGTAGCGCGCGCACGCGTGAGTGCCCATTGCCGGCGTGTGTCGTGATGGATGCAAGAGAGAGAGCGTCGCCGTGCGCCGTTTGATGTGTAATGTGGGTGTGTGAGAGAGAGAGAGAGAGAGAGAGGCATGCTGTGCTTTGTGCTGTGTGTTGTGTGTGCGTGTGAGCAGAGAGAGAGGTTGTGACGTGTTTGTGTTGGGTGTGCTGACAGAGAGAGAGACCAGATCGATTCGGGAGCGAGGTGTATGTGTCAGAGAAGAGAGAGGAGACGAGAGGAGAGCATTGAGAACCAGAGGGAGTGTGTATGTGTCAGCAGTAGAGAGAGAGCGTGTGTCATGTGTGGTGGCGGCGCGCACCGCGCGTGTCTGGTGTGTGTGAGAGAGGAGAGAACTGAAGAGGAGTTTGTATGTGTCTGCAGAGAGAGAGCGTGTGCGTTGTTGTGTTGCAGAGAGAGACAGGGCGTGTGCGTGTTTGTTACCTCCGCCAACGAAAAGTTGCCAGGGAGGTCATGCAATCGCTCGCGTGTGTGTGTTCGCTGTGTCGTGTGTAGCCAACTAGTGTTCGCGCGGATCGATTCAGCAGCAAGCTCGCCTTCGTGTGTGGTGGTAGCCCACTAGATGTTCCGCGCGATCATTCAGCAGCAGCTCGCGCTAGGGCATCCCAGTCAGCAGCAGCCAGCAGCGAGCCATGCTGTTATACAGCATACAGTTCCACGCTCGCCCGGAGGTATGACTTTCTGTGAGTGCCTCTGTCTTAGTGTTGTGTGTGTGACGGAGAGAGAGAGAGAGAGAGAGAGAAGAACAGATGGAGGGAGTGATGTATGTGGGTCAGAGAGAGAGGGGAGCGAGAGAGAGGATGTGCGCGTGAGGGAGTGTGTATGTGTCATGCAGAGAGAGAGGTGAGAGAGAGCATGTGTGCGCTTGTGCCCTGTGTGTGAGCTGAGAGAGCGAGCACGGTGTGCGCGCTGTGTGTGTGTGTGTGTGTGTGTGTGTGTGTTGCTGTGTTATGTGCACCCTGTGTGTGTGTTGTGTGTGGGGGAGCAGAGAGGAGAGCTACCAACAGGGAGTGTATTGTGTCAGAGAGAGAGAGAGACGAGAGAGGTGCTGCGTGTTTCGCGTTTGTGGTGGTGTGACAGAGACGACTGAGAGGGCGGAGAAACCAGCAGAGGAGTGTGTATACATGTGTCAGAGAGAGAGAGCAGAGAGAGAGTCACTTGCAGGTTCGCGGCGTGTGTGTGTGTTTGTGCCTGTGAGTGAGGGCAGAGAGAGAGCGAGGAGAGTCGCGTTGCGCGTGTGTGCTGTGCAGTGAAGAAGCCAGAGAGACGGACCCTTCGCCGCCCCTAGTGACCAGGAGCGAGTGTGCACTCTGATGCCAGAGAGAGAGAGAGAGATGTGTGTGTGTGTGCGTGTGCGTGTGCGTGTGCGTGTGCGTGTGCGTGTGCGTGTGCGTGTGCGTGTGCGTGTGTGTGAGAGAGAGAGAGAGGGAGAACCAAAGAGGGAGTGTTTGAGGGGGAAATCAACGTTGGCACGCTGAGCAAAAAGCCGTTGGGCCAACGTTGGCAATATGACGTTGGGCCAACGTTGGCCCGCCAAGCAAAAATCTGTTGGGCCAACGTTGGCAAAATGACGTTGGGCCAACGTTGGCTTGTCGAGCAAAAATCCGTTGGGCCAACGTTGGCAAAATGACGTTGGGCCAACGTTGGCAAAATGACGTTGGGCCAACGTTGGCAATATGACGTTGGGCCAACGTTGGCCCACCGAGCAAAAATCCGTTGGGCTAACGTTGGCATAGGCTGAAGACAGCTGTTGGGCCAACGTTGGCCCAAAGTCAGCATGTTATCTGGGTAGTAGTATAACCACATAATTGTTGTTTCAACAGAAGGCTGCTGCAAAGGGAAAGGAGAAGAAGGAAAGGCAAGTGATAACATATGATGTACAAACACCGGCTGGAGAAAAGAAAGGTGAGAGGATTGTTGTTGGCTAATAGCATGTACGCCATATCAGAAATTTCATTTGATACATACATTGTCATTGCATGTCTCTACTATTTGGAATCTCAAATTTTTTTTCTAATTCTTAATCTCAATTTCTCTGCTTTAGATACGGCATGCCCGATGCCAGATGCATATTCTCCTAAATATGTTGAAGCATGTTGGTATGAATGGTGGGAGAAACTAGGCGTATTCAAGCCCGAGTACAATGCTCCTGTATGTATAAAAATCCATAGCAGCTAAACATTCCTATGTTAAAAATATGTGGCGAAGTATTCATGGAGAACCCACTATGCAGCTGTCTTCTATTAATCGTCTCAGTGTTGCTTGAACTAGCAATAAATTAATACAGAATTGTAAAATCTATGTATACAGAAATGTTAAACTCTAATGAATGTCCCTTTTAGTTCTACATAGCTTGTGATCTGCAGATATTCCAATGTTAGCAGGAATAAAATATATAGTATGATATACTGCTGATGCTTCCTTGGAATATAATGGCCTAATTAAAACATTTCAGAATGGGAAATTGACAATTCCTAACCCAAAAGGCAAATTCATGATCTGTATTCCACCTCCAAACGTGACTGGAACCCTGCATCTTGGTCACGCACTCACTAATGCAGTTGAGGATACACTTGTACGATGGTAAACATTTACGTTTGCAGTTTGATTGGGGCCTATAAGGGTTGTTCTTTTATGAGTAGGGCTGTAACGATCCACCGAAATCGAATCGGATCGCGATTCTCTTCCTTCGATCCGATCCTCGATATTTTTCTCCGTATTTTCGATTCCACTTCGATACCACTTTTTTCCTCCAATAGATGGAGGCACTACGTTATATACTGTGGAGTGTTACTCACCAATTTTACTCAGCGACTGTGCAGTGTATATATATATAAATAGTATACATCTCTATGATATATACTCTCTAGACTCTCTATAGTCTATTCACCATTTAGTATTCATTGGCAATTTCTAATAATTTATTATTGCAAAATAATGAAAATATAAAAAATAAGATAACATTTCAATATTTTGGGAATCGAATTGAGAGGCTAATATCGAGAACCGGATCGAATCGAGAGGCTTGTGTATCGTTACAGCCCTATTTATGAGTGACCATTATATATACAAGGTTGACTGTGTATATACAGCATACATGCTTCTTGTATAGCTAATGATATACTGAGCACACGCAGTATTTACGAACGAGCAGACGGTAACGTGAGTGGGCGGGTTTCAGGCACCGGATGCGCGGTGAGACGACCCTGTGGAACCCTGGGTGTGATCACGCCGGCATCGCGACGCAGGTCGTGGTCGAGAAGAAGCTGTGGAAGGAGCAGCAACTGACACGACACAACATCGGTCGCGAGGCTTTCGTCGACATGGCCTGGCAATGGAAGAACGAGTGAGTGAGTTGAGGTTTATTCGGGTGTCTGTGTGTATGTGGAAGGGGTGGAGGAGAGGGAGAGAGAGAGGCAGACGGAAGAAGACAGGGTTGAGGGAGGAGATGGATAGCAGGAGAGAAATGAAGTTCAAACAAAATTTTGGTTTGTTTTATGGTACGTATGTGTTTGCATGTTGATGAGGAAAAATCTCATTTATGTGGTATCTAGATTTTGTAGCTGTTTATTCTTTGTGATCCAGAAAGGGAAGTAGGATCTACGATCAGCTCAAAACCCTTGGCTCATCCTTGGACTGGGATAGAGCCTGTTTTACCATGGACCCTGTAAGTTGTACTACTGGACAGAATATGCTAAAGTATTGTGCATTCTGTGTCAGGCATTATGTGAAGCTTTCTTACATTTTGTTTTCAGCATTGTTAATTAGCCGCATATGGATGTGTCACTGTGTAAATATAATAGAAAATTAAGAAACAGACTTGTGCCTCGTTATGATCTCAACAAATTAAAAATGATGGTACAAACCAGAACATTCTGCAGTCGTATTAATATTACATTACTTAATTAAGAATTTGTGTCAATATGGTTATAATTGTTTAGATGTTTCACACTTTAGCTGCATTATAAAAACGGACTGCTTGAGTGAATCATGTGACATTAAACAAGTTTTCATTCCCAGAAACTCTCGGAAGCGGTGAAGGAGGCGTTTGTGCGTCTGCATGACGATGGAGTAATCTACAGGAGCAATCGGCTAGTCAACTGGTCTTGTACTCTGAAGTCTGCAATCTCTGATATTGAGGTAATAGACCAAGTTTTAGCAGTGATCTGTCAGTCAAATTCCTAGCATAGAGAGATTTCACCCTGGAGTTTAGTTGATCTTTATCAGCTAAAATGAAACAGAAATCATTACATCGATCCTGTGTAGATAGCCTATGTTTCCTTGCCTCTGGTTTGACATTAGAGTAGCACCAATCTCTTTCCTTCCCCAAATCTCACTTGACCACTGCGCTGATGGCAAGTGTCGTGGTTGCCCCCTTACTTGCCATTACTTGCCATTACTTGCCATTACTTGCCTTACTTACCATACTGCCTCAAACATCTGACTTATATTCATGGCAGTAAACCGCCGTGTCCGTCATACCTTGTTTGCTTCCGTGCCCTTCCCATAAACTCTATGCTGTGAATGTATCGATCCCAGCCTTACATGAAAACATGTTGATGAATAGTAAGCTGCACCTGTGCCCCTCAAACTTGCCACGGTGTCCTAAAATATAATAATTAAATCCAAGGCGATGCTTAATTGCCTTGCTCTAAAAATAATAAAACTTCACCCCCCCCCCATTTTTTCCTACATTGCAGGTCGACAAGCGGGAGCTCCCGGGGCGAACGCTGCTTCCTGTGCCCGGTTACAATGCAAAGGTCGAGTTTGGCGTTCTCGTGTCGTTTGCTTACCCGGTCGTCGACGGCGACGAGGAAATCGTCGTCGCTACGACGCGTATCGAGACGATGCTGGGTGCGTTGATGCTCAGCTTTCGGCGACTGAGAAACTATAGTGATGTTGAAACAGACAGCTAGAATACTAGATGACATATAGATATGTAGTATGATCGTATATCGTATGTAGTGCTCGTATAGTAGCTAGTATATCGTAAGTATATTCACTAGAGTAACTCTGTGAGAAAGTAAAGTGTGAAAAGTAAAGTGAGGTTTGCGTTAAGAAAGTAGTTCTGTGTGTTCTGTAGGTTGGTACCTGTTCATTACAGGAGTGTAGGTCAGGTTTCATTTGGTTCATTTCGCCTAATTCATTTCAATCAATGTGTTTACTATTATGAGAAATAACATGAAATGTTTAACAGCATGTGATCAATGAAATGAAATCGATTTCACTTTAATTAATGATTTGATAGTTAAAAAATAAATTTAGTAATTAATTTAGAGACCTTTGATTCTAAGTTTTTTCATGATGTTAAATCCGTAACTTGTATCATGCGTAGGTGATACTGCTGTAGCCGTGCATCCAACTGATGACAGGTATAAGCACCTGAAGGGCAAGTTCGTGCAGCATCCGTTCTGCGACCGGAAACTGCCGATAGTTGCTGACGCGTTTGTTGACAAGGACTTTGGTACAGGTATGTAGATTGTTGTAAGGTGACAGTGGGAGTGGGTTTGAGTGAGGTGACGTTCTGTACAGGTACACAGATTGCCAGGGGGTTGGTGACAATAGATTGTTGAGGGTGGGGGTGACAATGGGGGTGCATTTAAGCATCATGCTTCAAAAAACTGGGGATAACTGTTTCGATATGCACAATGCTGATGCCGCGTGTTAATGATTTTCATGTAGGAGCTGTCAAGATCACACCTGCGCATGATCACAACGACTATGACGTAGGTAAACGCAACAACCTACCCTTCATCACCATCATCGACGACGAGGGCAACATCACCAATGAAGGTGGACAGTTCAAGGTGACTGCTAGTGCCCACTGCGGGTGTGCGTGTGACGTGGGAAAAATTGAAAAGTGGTCCTTTCTTTAGGCGTGAAAGGGAGTCTTTTATGTGTGGTCGTGTATGTGCAAGCTTCATTTTTATGCCGATGTCTACTGCTGCTTGTGCATATTGGTTGAGGGATGTTGATACCTGCACATAACACAAGATGAGGGCAAGTATGAGGAGAACTGTGGGGGTGAGGATGAGGATGACTATGAAGATTAAGTGTTAGGATTAGGGTTGGAAGAGAGATATTGAGAATGAGGGTAGGGAATGAGGATGAGGGTTGGAGGGGAGATGTTGAGAATGAGGGTAAGAGGTTCAGATGAGGGTGACAATGAGGATGAAACTCGCCAGCACTAACGTATCTGCACGCACGCGCACGCAGGGCATGAAGCGGTTCGACGCGCGTGCAGCCGTGCTGCAGGCCCTGAAGGAGAGGGGCCTCTACAGGGACACAAAGGACAATCCCATGGTCGTGCCAATCTGCAGTCGATCGAAGGACATCATCGAGCCGCTGCTGAAGGCGCAGTGGTACGTCGACTGCTCCGACATGGCCAAGCAGGCCGCAGACGTGAGTACACACGTGGCTCCCTCTGTGCGAGGAAGTTAACCTTTAGTATTTTACTAGTATTTTTATTAGTATTTAGTATAGGTTAGTTTCTGGAACGTTTAGTTGACATAGTAGGTTATAACCTATATTAAACCTTAATTTATTAATAACCTAATAAATTAGAATATAATTGATATTTGATGTGGTTAAATAATCAGGAACTCGTTGGGTTGTACGACCGCCTCCCCTGTGCAGACATGCGAGTTGCATGTTGTCAGGCGTACACGTGTCATCTAGTCGCCAGTTAAGTGGTCGTGCCCCTGCCTTACTTGCAGGCTGTTAGAAACAAGGAGCTCCTCATTGTTCCCGACATGCATGAGAGGACCTGGTTCAACTGGCTTGACAACATAAGGTAGTCGTCGTCGTATGTCCGATGGTTGTAGTTAATCGGTACTGTGAGTGTGCGTGCGTGATGTGAGTGGAAACGGGCGACTGCGTGTGCATTAGCAGACTGTGTGCATGTGACGTATGTGTGTGTGCGTGTGTGTGTTCATGTGTACGTGCTTGCGAGCGTCTGAGCATGTGTGTGTGCGTGCGTGCGTGCGTGCGGGTGTGCGTGTGTGCGTGCGTGTGCATCTGTGCGTGTGTGTGTGTGTGTGTGTGTTTGTGTGCATGTCAGTGCATGTCTGATGTGTTAGTGTGTGCTGGCTTCTGTGGCATTGGCTGCGCATGTCTTGTGACGTGTCTGCAGTATGTGGGTGTGTAGATGCAATGACTAGGGGGCGTGTGGATGTACCTGACTGCTGTCTGCTTGTCTGTTGCTACAGGGATTGGTGCATCTCACGGCAGCTGTGGTGGGGACATCGCATCCCGTGCTACTTTGTCACTATCGATGACCAGGCTGTTCCGCCGGGAGAGGTAAATGAAATAAGGACATGTGCGTCCTGTTAATTACCTCCGCGCAACGGAGTTGCAGGGAGGTAATGTGATCCCTCTCGTGTGATGCGTTGGTGTGTGTGTGTTCGTGTGTGTGTGTAGCCAGCAGCGAGCCAGCTGTTATACACATGTATACATGTTACACGCGTTGGCGCGATCGATTCAGCACCAGCTTGCCTTAGGCCGTCCAGTCAGCAGCAGCTCTCCTTAAGGCGTCCAGCCAGCAGCAGCCAGCAGCGAGCCAGCTGTTATACACATGTATACATGTTACACGCTTGCAGAGGTATGCACTCTTTTTGAGTGCCCTCTGTCTAGTTTCTAATTGTACGGTATGTGTTGTAAACGTTTTCATTTTCCCCCTTTTTGTTTACGTTTATTTCACAAAATGAAATGAAATAATGTCCTGCTAATGCCTCAACATATGGTGTATGACATGAACACTTTTTCTGTTGTATATTTCATGTGTCATGCAGTGATTCGCGTAATCTCATCTTATTTTAGCATCGTAATGAAGGAACACATTTATGTTCAGGGTATATATAGGGTTATAGTAAAGAAATACAGCTAAGGTTTTAACATGCTCGTCAGAGTTAACAGCCACATCGTAACCCCACCCTACCTCAATACATTATATATCACATGTTCGTGTCAACACAGTACCTGTGTGTGATGTAAACATAGTACCTATGTGTGGTGTCAACACAGTACTTGTGTGTGATGTAAACATAGTGCCTATGTGTGGTGTCAATGCAGTACTTGTGTGTGACGTAAACATAGTTCCTATGTGTGGTGTCAATGCAGTACTTGTGTGTGACGTAAACATAGTGCCTATGTGTGGTGTCAATGCAGTACTTGTGTGTGACGTAAACATAGTTCCTATGTGTGGTGTCAACACAGTACTTGTGTGTGATGTAAACATAGTACCTATGTGTGGTGTCAACGCAGTACTTGTGTGTGACGTAACTGTGACGTAACTATAGTGGCTCTACCTAGCGTGCGCATGCTCGTGTGTTGCAGGACATCGATAACAAGTACTGGGTGAGCGGCCGGACGCGAGAGGAGGCCCTCGAACGCGCTGTGGCGAGGTTTGGCGTTTCACCCGAGCAGGTGACGCTGCGGCAGGACGAGGATGTGTTGGACACATGGTTCTCCTCAGCAGTGTTCCCATTCTCAATCTTTGGATGGCCGAACAAGGTAATTACCCTGTGCACACCATCGACCATGCATCACCAGCTGCAGTCAGCGTGTCGTTAACGTCATAGCTTGATGACGTTGAACAGTAGTAGATGTAGGATGTGCATCTTGTAGCACCGGTTCAGGTCTTTACTTCTCACACATCGACCAACGAAGCTGTGTTGGTTCAGCGTTTGCTTTCGTTGTATTACGTTACGTTACGTTATGGTATGTTATGTTACATTACCTTATGTTCCCTGTCATTGTTTACGTAGTAGTAACGTTCATTCATAGTTCGTTCGCTGTAGTTCTGGTTTGATCTATATTCAGCTTATCTGCTTGTATGGTATTTTGTATATACACACGTAACTAGGTATTTGCTGCTTGGTTTCCCTCAGACAGAGGAGTTGGATGTGTTCTATCCCGGAACTCTCCTGGAGACTGGGCATGATATCCTGTTCTTCTGGGTGGCAAGAATGGTCATGTTTGGACAGAAGCTCATGGGTTGTCTGCCGTTTAGGGAGGTAAGCTGCTGTTATTCTGTACAGCGTACAGTCAAACATGTACAAGGGGGTCACTCAAGTCAATAGCCACACGTGTGTTCTATAAGCAGGTGCCAGTTTAATGCGCTCTCAAGCAAAGCTATAATGTATTTCGTTTCTGCTATGCACCTTGTACAAAAGGACATGTATTGCACTTTAGTGAATATCAATATTGAACATGCAAAAACAACAACAACACAAACAAGAAGAAGAACAAGAACAACAACAACAACAACAACAGGATGCAACACAAATCCAACCTTTTCCTATCTCATCGTGCTGGATGATGTTAACAGCTGTACCTGTACTTAACAGGATACAAAAAGGAATCCTACTGAATCCTCTTGAATAATTTTAATAGGAGGTGTACCTGTACTTTACATGGTGAAGCATGAGTCTTATCATATGCCGTTGGCTGTTAATTAACAGGTGTACCTGCACGCGATGGTGAGAGATGCTCACGGCCGCAAGATGAGCAAGTCTCTCGGCAACGTGATTGACCCGGTCGACGTCATCCACGGGATCACGCTCGAGGGTTTGCACCGGCAGCTCGAGCAGGGCAACCTCGACCAGCGTGAGATCGCGCGAGCCAAGGCGGGCCAGGTGAGCCAGCGGTGGCGAGGGGGCGCCACGTGTGACTAGACCAGCGTGAGATCGCGCGAGCCAAGGCGGGCCAGGTGAGCCAGCGGTGGCGAGGGGGCGCCACGTGTGGTGAGGGGGCGCCACGTGTGGCAAGTCGTACTGCGATCGCGCAGTGTTGTGGCGATGCCTCCTTATTCTTTGCGAACGGTTACTGAGTCTTCGTCATGCAGACCAGAGGTTAGGACGCGGTCAGACATGTATCCCATTAGATATGTGGCGCACCCTATTTTTTCGATTACACTGTGTTACTATGTTTGTTCTAGCAGTTGAACCTGTGTGTTAGTAGTGGTGCTCTACTCTTAGCTTGGTGCTAATGTGTTGTTGTAGAAAGCGGATTACCCCACTGGAATCCCTGAGTGTGGAACAGATGCATTGCGATTTGCCCTGCTGGCCTATACGGCACAAGGTGAGACGAACCTGTTCGTAATTTTACGGAGTATACGATTTGACCTCTCCAATTAAAAATCGGTTGTGTTCGTGTAATCTCCCCTTCCGTATTACAGCAGGAATTCTGAGAGAGTATAACAGCTTCCTTTATGGTACTATGTTACTATTCGGCTGCATTATCTCTGCAGGGCCAAAACATAAATTTCACCACATCGGGAGCAAGTGCCGTCATTGGCATTCTTACTTGCAATTGTACACCTTAGAATTGTACAATATCCAAGACAGTAAACTGTCATGGCTGCCCTACCTGGTTAGACTGTGTTATATTTCCATGTTGTGTATGTATCCCTTTTGATCCCGCATAAAAAATTCCATTGAAAAGTAAGTGGTATTAACAACCCATATTTCCAGGAAATGCTTAGCCTTGCTTCTTTTCCTACTTTCTGTGGTGCTCTAAAAATTCTGATTAAAAACAAAGGCAGCACTAGCTCTGCCCTAAAAATTGTTTAACTGGACTCGTGCAGGGCGTGACATCAACCTTGATGTGAACCGTGTCCAGGGATATCGCTTCTTCTGCAACAAGCTGTGGAATGCAACCAAGTTTGCACTGATGTGCCTGGGTAGCGATTACCAGCCGCTGCCCGAGGCCAGGGTGAGTGTACACTAGCCTTGCTGCGTGCAGGTCGGATATTAGTCGATGTGTAGGGCAGTGCCGGCAGCTTGGGCACGATCGATCCTATTCCAACTGTATTGCTTGCAGAGGTGCCAGACACTATCTGACCACTACCTGTTTCTTGATAACTGCTGCTATGGCGTGTTTACTGTGCATTTGTAAACTTGTGAGATACCTAGCCGGGCACCCCTACGTTTATAAGAATCACACACAGCAGGAGAATGATTAATTGCCTTTCGCATCACCTTGTCGTCTGGTCGTGTCGACTGAACCTTTAATGGATACTAATTAGCTACATCTATATGACATGTGCGTTCGTGCGTGTGTGTATGCGTGCATGCGTGCGTGTGTGCAAGTATGCGTGTCCGTACGTGTTGACCCCTCCTCTTCGACGTCAGCTGCTGTCCCGGGTCGGCTTGCTGGAAACAAAAGGAATCACATGAGACTTTGTATGAGACTTAGTGACGTCGTTGTTGCAGCCCTTAGACGGTGAGCGGCCGATGGATCGCTGGATTCTCAGCCGTCTCGCAGTGGCAATCAACGCGTGCCACGTCGGCTTCACGACATACGACTTCCCGGGCGTTACCACGGCGATCTACAGCTTCTGGCTGTACGATCTGTGCGACGTTTATCTGGTACGTGCGCTGCTGTCGATCGTCGCGATCGTAGAAGAACAAGTTTTCATTATCAAAACAAAAACTAGTTGTTCATTGCTAACTAATCACCAAGATTGTCAACCATTTTTTGCACAAGCTCTATGAACTAATCTAGTGGAACTTGGCCCCCGTTCAATTTTGTCTCAACTCAATTCCAGCATCGTCACGTAGTTGAGCCAGTAATAACAACCCTGCAGCATATTTAAACTGGAACATTTGCAAGAAGGACACTTGCAATTTACCAAGTCGTGCAGTTAGGCCACTTTACAGTTGTGTATATTTCAATACTTAGTTCAGCTTTGCTCTTTTAATACGTACCCTTGTCATTTTCGTCTGCTCGCAGGAGTACTTGAAGCCGGTGTTTCGCCAGGACGACCAGCAGAGGGTGGCAGCGTCGCGCAGCGTTCTCTACACGTGTCTCGACATGGCGCTGCGTCTCATCAGTCCGTTCATGCCCTTCATCTCGGAGGAGTTGTACCAGCGTCTGCCGCGACGCACGCCCAACTGCCCGCCGAGCATATGTGTCACTGCCTATCCGGAACCAACGTCGGTATGCTTACAAATACAACAATGACTCGCTAGAAGAACTGTCTGTCAGTCGCATGTGGATAACTCGATTCAGTCACAGCTAGGGTGTCGTGATTAACATGTTTTTGACTGGGCTGCTCAACGCTGACCCTTGCGTGACTCTGTGATGTTTGACACTCTGGTCGTGGCGTCTGCTGCAGTATCCCGTGAGAGACGAGCGACTAGAGGAGAGTGTCGCCTTCACGCAGGACATCATTGGCAAGATTCGCTCGCTGCGCAGCGACTACATGCTCACACCCAAGCAGTCGGCTGATGGTAAGCGTCATGTGCGTCGCACGCTAGCGGGACGTGATTTCCCACGTTGAACCTGAGGTGCAAAACATCACCGGAAAGTTTATTTCTGTCAAATTTTCAGGGGCGTTGGCTGTGGCTAGATGAAAGCACGCCTGTAATAAGTAACAATGTATTTTGGCTTTCTGCTATAGTGTTCCTGAAGTGCAGTGACAAGGAAACGAAGAGCATAGTGGACCAGTTCTCCGATCTCATGCAGACACTGACTTCCTCTCACCAGGTGGCGACAATGGTTGACGAACAGCCACCAGAGGGTTGCGCCATCGTCACCGTTTCGCACCGTTGTGTCGTCCACTTGTTACTGAAGGTAGAATTTTTGTGCAGGAGACGCGCGTCACTTGTGTCCGCATGAAAAGTAACAAGCAGGGTGTTATCGTGACAGATGGTTAGCATAACGTAAAGCTTGTGTGATAATAAGCATTTCACGCATCGTACGGCACCAATGTGGCTGACATCTGAAATCGCTGCGTGTGTACTTCTGTTAAATACTGCTGCAGATGAAATTGACTTATCAGCCTGTACACGATAACGACACCCTCTTGGATATTGGGATACCACCTCGGCGCCCACTTTTGACGCCCCCCTTTCACAGGGATCCAGGGTATATATAAGGAGGAGAGAACACACTGTAAAGCACAGTTGTTTTCAGTTGTAAAAAGTTAGAAGAACCTGACGAAGACTACCACAAATCGAAATTAGTCGTTTATTGCTAACTTTGTGTAGCTTTTGCTCAACATAACTTTTATGTAAAATGGCATCATCCCACCAGCAAATCAAATCCACGTGGGGACGTACAGTAGAGCTGTGCCCCGTAGAGGCCTCTTCTTCACGCATGTCCACCCTCTTGGATATTGTTGCTAGGTCGGTCCGGCTGGACGCACGTGTTTCACACATACATGCTTAATTGTCAAATTTGCAGCACTTTGTTGCCAATCACTGTCTTTCAGAAGATCCTATCGTAACAGCATTGGCTATGGTTGCCTGTCAATCGTGCTAGGCAGATTGGTCGAATCCGCGAGTTTTGTTACGTGAAACTGTTCTGAGGTTATCCACACTGTTAATACAGTTCTCACTGTCTCTCTGTCCAGCTCGTGCTTATCTTCAGAGGCATTTGTGTTGTTACTCCAGGGTCTCATAGATCCGTTGAAGGAGTCAGCAAAGCTGGATGACAAGAAGGGCAAACTGTCTGCGCAGCTTCAGAAGATGCAGCGTAACACACAGTTGCCCGACTACGCTGCTAAGGTTCCAGAGGATGTGCGGAGGGCCAACACTGACAAGGTAGCTGGGTCATCAGGCACACATCAATTTATTGTGACGATTGAGAGCAAATTAATTTCATTTGCAATATCGTTTATTCTACTCGTATTCTGACAAGTTATTGACCTTGTTATGACCTTTACCACACGTCTTACAGATGGAGCAGATTGAAGGAGAAATACAGAAGCTGGTGGAAGCACTTGAGACTATTGCTAAGATGCAGTAACAGGATTGCTGTGCCAATCAGTCGTTGCTAGGGCGGCATGCTCTGAACCTCCTGCAATACATGTATTCTCAGAAGCAATTGTGAATTGAAAAAATATTGTATATCTGTCGAACAACTTCCACTTTAACTTTTGCTGTTACTAATTTATTGGCTATGATAATTCACTCGCATGGAATTGTTTTTGCATGCTGTAATTAAATGTGGAGGCCTAACAGTACTGTTCAGTTCAAGTTAAAATCTGATGACATTCAATGCGAACATTATGCATACTGAAATTTGTGCGCTTTATACATTACATGTTATAACTTGTAGTTATATACACTGAGATTGCTTTCATTGCTAATAACACTAACTTGGAAATTCTGTTATGGAAGGCGGAGCAGGTGGAATTATATTTATTAAAATAAACGTCGGTGGCATATATATATCTTGCGGTTTCCCTTCATTTTATGCAGTTTCAATACATGCCGGGCAAGGGTGGGATATGTTGCAACAAAAACGAAACGAAAATACAAATTCACCACATGAACATTAATTGTGAAAATAATACCAAGCACATCGTCTTTATTTACTCAAACCAAACAAATTGCAGGTCATACTGCTACTTGGTACATAGGTCATGTCATTGCGGCTTGCAATAACATGCAACTAAAACCAGATATCACCGCAGAATGGCAATAGTAAGCAGTTTATAACATACCATGTTCTAATACCATTTTTAGGTCAACACATTCCACCTCACTGAAAGTAATTCTGAACAATTTCCAACAGTGGTATGCAGGACAAGTACTACTGCTCAATCCTGAAGTAATTTTTCTATAAGCTTTCGTCTGTTGGCAGAATTTCCACGGAAATGCACTTAATGGAAGCAAGTTTTAAAATAAAAATGTTCAGCCTTGATAATAATGTTAACTAGAGCACTCGGAGAGCACAGACCTCCGCCAAGGCAGCTGAATTCTCTCACTGTGAAAATTTTTATTTATTAATTAATGAATTAAGTGAAAAAATTTATTAATTAATTGGATCAGGATCCCCACCGAAATGTAATAAATTCTAAGTTACCCCATTTCTGACCTATCCTGAAAATTTTATTAATTAATTAGTTAATTAATTAATTAATTGGATCCAGATCACCACCAAAATGTAATCAATTCTAAGTTACCCCATTTCTGACCTATCCTGAAAATTTTATTAATTAATTAATTAGTTAATTAATTAATTGGATCCGGATCACCACCAAAATGTAATCAATTCTAAGTTACCCCATTTCTGACCTATCCTGAAATTTTTTTTAATTAATTGGATCCGGATCACCACCAAAATCTCATCAATTCTAAGTTAGGCGATTTCTGACCTATCCTGAAAATTTTATTAATTAATTAATTAATTAATTAATTGGATCCGGATCACCACCAAAATCTCATCAATTCTAAGTTAGGCGATTTCTGACCTATCCTGAAAATTTTATGACAATCCGTCCATAACTTTTTCAGTTAGGCTGTACACAAACCCACAAACCAACAAACAGTCAAACACACGCCGGTGAAAACATAACCTCCTGCCAACCCCTTGGCGGAGGTAATAATGTGTTTCTGTCACTCTCCCACCTTCTCCTATGCATTCCACCACCCAACCATCATTGGTGACAGGTCCTCCATCAGTGGTAAGAACAAGGTTGCCTTGTACGAGAGTATGGATAAGTGCTTTTGTACAACACTCGTGTACAACATTCCTGATCACACATTCAACAGGTCGCAAAAGCGCCGGGCCGCAAACGTTCAGTCTTACTCTGCTCTAAGTTGCAGCTGCCGACTTTTTCACGCGGTTCCGTAACGCCTGGTGCTCCACCAGGGGGCATCGCAGCAGCGCCAGGTTGAGAAGACCTTTCTGCACGCCGTCCATCGTCAGGCCGTCGCCTTTAGCGCCACCTGACGGCCAGATGAGCGCCACCTCGATCATCTCGACGTGGCGCAGCAGCGTTGCCGCTGTGCAGCCGATGCAGTCGCTGCAGACGTTCAGCAGCCAGCGCAGCGCGTCCGGCAACTCCGGCGTCTGCTCCCACGGCCTGCTCCAGTGTCCCATCTTCACCTCTTTCGCCCGCTTATAGCAGGTGTAGACGCCGCTGCAGCCCCCGCCATTGTCGTCTTCGGCCGCGCTCGACGCCCGCCCGTCGATTTCCCCCGAGAGCCGGTGGACCGCTCTCGCCGGCGTTCTCTGAGGAACGCGTAGTGTCGGCGCGGTGTCAGCATCGTCAGAGCATGATGGGTCGCTGTCGCTGCTGCTGCTGTGCCATCTCTTGCGGGTTGTCACGCGGCGATAGCACTCGCCGTGGCGCAGGCAGCAGTCAGCTAGCTTGGTTCGCGAACCATCGTCCGGCTTGGCTCGACGCGGGAGCATCGGCGGCATCGCGAGGAAATCGAGCGAGGCGTGCGAGAAATCCGTGGCGGGGTCATCGCCGCCGATAGGTGGCAGCACGGCAGCCGGCGGCGGAACATATGGCTCCTCCGCGGTGGATGCCTCTCCCCGGAGCGCGTGCTCGAATGGACTCGGCAGCGTGCCGTCAGTCGGAGCGCCCGCGAACGGCCGCCGCGCGCCGCGCCGCCGCTCCCCAGCGGGCAGCTGGTGGCTCCCCCTGAGGGTGGCATGTGCATGCAGCATTGCCTGCGCGTTGCACTTGTCGCTCATGACGTTGGCCACGCCGGAGCTCGGGAGGTGATACCGCATCGCTTTCCACCGAGCGTGTGTCTGCCGCACCCAGTCGTCCCAGACGAATGCCCGGGGGGCGCCGGCGGCAGCGTTGACCCGCCGCGCACGCCGCGACAGCGCCCTCTCTGTCGAGCCGTCGACGCCAAACACGAGGCGCAGCGTCACGACGATCGCCGCCATCGCGTGCGCCTCGTCGTCCGTGACGACAAGGTCGGGCGTCGCCACGACGACGCCGCGTGCGACCTCGAGCAGCTGCCGCGGCAGACCGAGCGCTGCCTGGAGGCGGGCGAGGATGTGCGCGGCGTCGGGGCGCGAGCGCGGCGCCGGCAGCGCGAGGAAGCCGCGCAGCAGCCGCGCGTCAACGACGACGCTCTCGCGCTGCGGCAACGACCGCGGCCGGAACGTCATCGCGTCGTCAGCGAACATGTCGTAGTCAGAGAGCAGCTCTGCCGAGCGGAAGTAGGGCAGCCGGCCCGCGGCGGCGAGACGCAGCACGTCGGAAAGCAGCAGCGGCAGGCCGAGGTGCAGAAGCGCGAGGTAGAGGAAGCCGATCGTGTGTCGCAGCCGCAGCAGCGTCGCCGGCGACTGCGCGATCCCCGGACGCCGGCCGCCGTACTTACGCGGCCGCGAGTGAGGTGCGCCACCTGGCACAGCTTCCCCATCGTGTTCCACGTTGCCAGGGGGCAGTTCGCCATCGCTGTCTCCGTCGCCAGGGGGCAGTTCGCCATCGCTGTCTCCGTCGCCAGGGGGCAGTTCTGCACCGTCACCCTCGGCACCAGGGGGCAGTTCTGCGCCGTCACGCTCGGCACCAGGGGGCAGTTCTGCGCCGTCACGCTCGGCACCAGGGTGCACTTCTGTGCCGTCACGCTCGGTACCAGGGTGCAGTTCTGCGCCGTCACGCTCGGCACCAGGGGGCAGTTCTGCGCCGTCACCCTCGGCACCAGGGTGCAGTTTTGCACCGTCACCCTCGGCACCAGGGGACAGTTCTGCGCCGTCACGCTCGGCACCAGGGGGCAATTCTGCGCCGCCACGCTCGGCACCGCCAGGGGGCAGTTCTCTGCCTTCACGTTCGGTTCGAAGAGGCGCTTCTGTACCATCGTCCTCGTCGTCGGATGCCTTTCCTCCGTCCGTGTCCTCGTCCGCCGTCGTCGCTGTATAGATTCCTCGTCTTCGAACACCTTCTGCAGCAGCCTCTGCTCCGCTTCCGTCCTTCGACAGCTTCGTGCCGCGCGCTTGTTCCGCTCGCTCCGTGCGCCGCCTCGCGACGCAGCTCGCGACGACGGCGCGGCGGCGGCCCCTCCTCCGCTCCGCGCTGAAGGCGATGCCGCGGCCGGCACAGGTACGCCGCCCACAGCTGGAAGACGAGCTCCCTGAGAGCGGGCGGCGGCCCGCAGCGAGCAAGCACTTCGTCTGCTTCGCCAGGACGATCGTGAACGCCTGCGTAGCGGCTTCAGCGAGCGCAGCGCCCCGCGCCGCGCCGCGAGCGCGAGACCCGGCGCGCGCGGCTCCGCGCGACGCTGACGGCTTTCAAGCGTGAACCGGAACTTCGGCTCGATCTCGTCCGGCGATCTCCTCGCGCACTTCCTCGCCGCAGGTCCTGCGACTGCGTGTGCTTAAGCACAGCGTGTCAGTAGTAGTGGCCCCGATCGACTGCACTGGAACTCGCCGCTCCGAACCCGCAGACATACGCAACTCCGAGCCATTGGACGGCGGCACTTCGCACGTTGCTGCTTCGCCGATCGTGTTCGGCTTTGCGGTCGAACGACGTGCGGTCGCTACTCTTGCTCGCGCACCTAGTCACGCGCTGAGTTTGTTAATCGCATGCATTCGTGTCAGCGCAGGAATGACCCATGTTCTTACCTACATTAATTGTCGCTACTCTACATGCGACCCGTGTCAGTCACTAGCGCGTACTGTTTCGCCATTTTGTTGCCAGAATTAATCACCGGCGTTTATAATCGATCCTCGTCGTTCGGCCGATATCTTATCTGGCCCTGGCTTATATGTCTCGGCAGGGACAGCCAGGATATATTACGGACACCTAATTGTTGGCATTTCTCATTCGTTATAACAGTTCCCGATGAGGCAGGATTTGCGTTTTAGCGCCGCTAGAGGTTGCATGAATGGTGGGACTCCCTGCAGGTATTGTCGGTCTGTGGTCTGTGCAGTTTCTTTACTGACTACTGGCTGTTTCTTTCAAGCTCTTCCAGACACATCCAGCGTTTAATCACACTCCTGTAACACATAACCGAGCCGCCTTGAACTAGGTGCCAATTGATCCTCCAAAATTCAACTAAGCCTCAACAAAAGAAACCGTATTACAAGTACATTGCACTCTGTCAGTTTAACACCGCGCACACGTGAGCGACGGTCATTGATCGCTAACGATTGGTATCAACAGTTTCTGCATTAATTACTTACTCTTCCAATCATGGTATACTTGTGGTCGAGCGTGCCGACTGCTTACTGTAGGTGATAAACGTGTGACCATTGTATTTGGTCCACTTGTTAGCATTGCGAAACAACACCTCGACATGTTGTGGCTTGCAAGACATATATTGATTAATCCAACAGCGTTAATCACAGGTTTCATCTGTCTTCAACACTTTCAAAATGTGGAGCGGCATTTTCAAAATCTTATTTCATCATAATATTTTCCTAGCAGTTTTTTCATAATTATTATTATGCATGTTATCAGGAGAAATATTATAGGATTAATATCTTATAGTTATATCTAAATATATTATCTTATCCTTGATGTCATATCTACACTTGTATGTACTGATTATTGTTTAGAACATTAATAATTATGATTTAGTACATTTTATGTACAGTTTCTAAAACTTCGTAAGTAGACTGTAAGTTTAGATCCAATAACGTGCTGTGTAAATCTCTCT